CAATTTTTTTTAATCCATTTCAGCGATTGAGTGGGCTGGGAAACATTTTCTTAGAGCTCAGGGAATGTGTGTCCAGGTTGAATGCACAGCACACACACGGATGGGAAGTCGAAACTCGAGTGGCTTAAAAAATAAATATACGAAATTTGGTTCATCGAGCTGACTAGGAAAAATTCTCAGAGTTCTGGAAATAATTCTGAGTTCAAGCATGGGACATGAGAACAGAAATGTATTACAATCATCATGTCATCATTGTTTTCGAAAGCCAAAAAAATTCCTCATGAAAGAACATCTTTTTTTCCTGGTTGTGGGATGGAGTAGAGTTGCTGCATCTTGAACAACCCACACTGATCTGAACAGAAATATGAAATGTTTTTATAGATATAAGAAATGAATGAAAGTGAAAGTAAAAATGAAATTGTATTGGCTGGAAATATTTCTTGGCTGTTGAATGGGAAAAATATTTCCAGAGCTGAAAAAAAAAAAAAAAAAAAACTCTTTCCTTTTTTCTATTAATTTGATGTCTTCACTTTGTTTACTTTGGAATGTGACTCATCCTTTCTAAAAGAATGAGTCATGGTCTATTTTTAGAAACAGTGAGACAACATTCCCACACAAAAGGGGGGGTAGGGTTAATTTTTATCATGTCTAGACATGATAAAAATTAACAAAAAGTTTTTTTTTTTTTTTTTTTTACATCTCAGAATTTTTTTTCTGAGCTCTGAAAATTTTTTCCCAGTCGGCAACCAAGTGAAAATTTCCAATCGGCTTTTACTTTCACTTTCAACTCTTTTCTATAAAAGTATTCCACGTTTTCTGTTCAGAACCGTGCGGGCTCTCCATGGTGCAACATGCTTTTTCTCTCTCTCTACCTCATCTGCAGCTCTATGACAGCTAACACGCTTGAGCTTTAAAAATGTATGAAAGAAGTTATTTTTAATCCATTTCAGCGATTGAGTGGGCTGGGGAAAAAAGGCCCTTTCCATGACAGCTAACACGCTTGAGCTTTAAAAAATATGAAAGAATTTATTTTTAATCCATTTCAGCGATTGAGTGGACTGGGAAACATTTTTTAGAGCTCAGGGGAAAAAAAAGGCTCTTTCCATGAGAACTAACACGCTTAAGCTTTAAAAATGATATGAAAGAATTTATTTTTAATCCATTTCAGCGATTGAGTGGACTGGGGGAAACATTTTCTTAGAGCTCAGGGGAAAAAAGGCTCTTTCCATGACAGCTAACACGCTTGAGCTTTAAAAATGTATGAAAGAATTTATTTTTAATCCATTTCAGCGATTGAGTCTGCTGGGAAACATTTCTCAGAGCTCAGGGGAAAAAAGGCTCTTTCCATGACAGCTAACACGCTTGAGCTTTAAAAATGTATGAAAGAATTTATTTTTAATCCATTTCAGCGATTGAGTCTGCTGGGAAACATTTTCTTAGAGCTCAGGGAAAAAAAAAGGCTCTTTCCATGACAGCTAACACTCTTGAGCTTTAAAAATGTATGAAAGAATTTATTTTTAATCCATTTCAGCGATTGAGTCTGCTGGGAAACATTTTCTTAGAGCTCAGGGAAAAAAAGGCTCTTTCCATGACACCTAACACTCTTGAGCTTTAAAAATGTATGAAAGAATTTATTTTTAATCCATTTCAGCGATTGAGTGGGCTGGGAAACATTTTCTTAGAGCTCAGGGAATGTGTCTCCAGGTTGAATGCACAGCACACACGGATGGGAAGTCGAAACTCGAGTGGCTTAAAAAATAAATATACGAAATTTGGTCATCGAGCTGACTGGGAAAAATTTTCAGAGTTCTGGAAATAATTCTGAGTTCAAGCATGGGACATGAGAACAGAAATGTATTACAATCATCATGTCATCATTGTTTTCGAAAGCCAAAAGAACATCCTCATGAAAGAACATCTTTTTTTCCTGGTTGTGGGATGGAGTAGAGTTGCTGCATCTTGAACAACCCACACTGATCTGAACAGAAAATGAAATGTTCTTATAGATATAAGAAATGAATTGAAAGTGAAAGTAAAAATGAAATTGTATTGGCTGGAAATATTTCTTGGCTGTTGAATGGGAAAAATATTTCCAGAGCTATTAAAAAAAAAAAAAAAAAACTCTTCCTTTTTTTTCTATTAATTTGATGTCTTCACTTTGTTTACTTTGGAATGGAGAAACCCAAAGACTTTTTAAAACATATCCTTTTTAAAAACTTATATTTAAATCATTTTTAAAACATATAATTCCTAGAATGAGTCATGGATTTTAGAAACAGGAGACACATTTCCCACACAAAAGGGGGGTAGGGTTAATTTTTATCATGTCTAGAAGACATGATAAAAATTAACAAAAAGTTTTTTTTTTTTTTTTTTTTTTTTTTTTTTTTTTATTTTTACATCTCAGAATTTTTTTTGAGCTCTGAAAATTTTTCCCAGTCGGCAACCAATTGAAAAATTTCCAATCGGCTTTTACTTTCACTTTCAACTCTTTTCTATAAAAGCATTCCACGTTTTCTGTTCAGAACCGTGCGGGCTCTCCATGGTGCAAATGCTTTTTTCTCTCTACCTCATCTGCAGCTAGGATGTTTTTCCTTCTTCAAGAAGTGGAATTTTTGGGAATACTTACAATTTCACGAGCTAGCTGTTTCTTATATTTCGAGGAGATTTCAATGGAAATTGTTTATAGATGTCATCTATTGCAGATGGGGAAAAAGTCTATACTGGATCGCTGGAGACATCTCATCCAGATAGGTCACGTTATATGTTTTTCCCACACCTAAATAAAACTGGACATGAGCCATCCTTTTGTTTTCATCCAACAAAGATAGACACTGCAGACCGTTTTGGGTTTTCACTCTTCGCGAACCGAGACGAGCCGCAGCCACACACTTTGCGTTTTCTATGAGCGCAATAATGGATTACGTGAGCAGCCATTTTGTTTCCCATCTCACCCAGATAGGTCATGTTGTATTTTGTTTCATGCACCTAGCCAATTTTGGACATGAGTCATCCTTTTGTTTTTTTTTTTTGTCTATCGAACCAAGATAGACTCTGGCGACAATTTTGTTTCTCAACGGAAAAGTAAATTTTCTGAATGGGTACCGGTGTTCGAATACTTTTGTGGCCGACTGTACCCAAAATGTTTTATTGCACTGTATGTGGACAAGAGCGCTCTATCATATGCGGTGTATTTTCTCTGTGTGTCAGCTAAGGAGCGTGAGAAGAAACTTAATGGACGCATCTCTCCCTGGTTAATTTAATGAATGAAGGTACCGAAATCTGTATCTGAAGCATCGCATGTGAGAGATATAGTAACGTCAGTTGAGGCATGAACCAGCATAGTAGCGTGACAAAGCTCATTTTTGAGCTTTTTGAATGCATTGCCAGAATCCTTGGTCCACGTTAGTTGTATTTTACTATTTTTACATGTTCCACTGAGTAGTGGGGTTAGAGGTTTTTGAAGCTTGATACAGTTTGGGATGAAGCGGTGATGAAAATTCATCATCCCTAAGAACATGCGCAAGCTGGCTGGCTGATTTGTGTTCGGGAATGTTTTGCATAGCCTCAACTTTCGTCGAAAGAGGTCTTATTCTTGCAGGTTTCATTTCATACCCCAAATACTTAAGTTTAGAAGTGCCAAAAATTCATTTTGCAATATTGATGCATAAACCATAGTCGTTTAACCTTTGAAAAACTGTGTGTAAGTGCTTACAGTATGACGCTTCGTCTGGAGAAGTGATTAGTATGTCATTCAAATAGCAGAATATGATGTTTAATCCTGATAGTACCGTATTCATGAATCGCTGAAATGTCTGTGCCGCTTTGCGTAAACAAAATGTCATGAATGGGAATTTAAACAGCCCAATGGCCATTTTGGGGATGTCAATTTCGTGCAACAGAATTTGTTGATAAGCTGTAATTAAGTCAATGGATGAAAAACATCTTCTTTCCGTGTAGAATATAAGCCAGAGTCAATAAGGAACGGTAGAGGATATCGATCAGGAGTGGTGATATTTTTAAAAGCTCTCTAATCTCCACATGACATCCAGTCACCTGATTTCTTTAGGGTGAAATGTAGAGGACTAGCCCAGCAACTTTTTGAAGGTCTGCAAAGACCTTCTTATAACATAAATTTAAATTCGGTTATTGCTGCTTTTAATTTTTCTGCTGAGAGTCTTCTTAGCCTAGTGGTATTAGGATCCCCCTAACTTATCTGAAGCTAAATTCTTCATTTCGCATAACAAATGAGAAAGTCTCCTTCACCCAGTTTTCACCTCAGTTAATAATTTTTGAGACTTTTGTTTTCGGTTTCGGCGAAGTTGGATATTAGTCTGTCGCCCCGTACTTGTCATACCTTAGGATCAGGTTGTCCGACACTGTTGTGATAATATTTAAGCGTCAATGGAACTCTCGACATAATGCTATTTCGTTTGATCTCTCGTAATTGCAGCATTTCGAAAATGAGCTTCCAGTTGGAGAAACCATATCTTTGGGTCCGGTTTCCAAAACGCTGAGACTTTAATGCTAACTATAGCGGTCGACACACATACACACACACAGATCGTATCGCTTTTGTTTTCGCCTTCTTTAACCATTTTTTTCTCTTTAATTTAGAAAGCCACATTCGGAGAGAAAGCAAAAAAAAAAAAAAAAAAAAAAATAGTCAAACTGGATTAGGGAACAGTCAAATGAACATTTCCATTGAAATTTGAAACCTGAAATTTTTCCCGATTATGACACTTCGTACAAGGAAATACTAATAGGTTTGAATTGGTAAATAGCGAAAAAAGAATATGTCAAGAAAATTAGCACTTTAACTAATGAAGTCAATACGTGAGATTTCAATTTATTACAGCACTTGTACAACTTATTATTCATGAAATTATTCTATCATTATCAAAATTCTATTATTCATGAAATAAAAATAATAATTTTTATTATACCCTGTTTGAATTCCCCCTTTCCCTGTTTCATGAGAAAATACCCGCAACACTTTCGTGCTAAAGCGCTTTACCTGTTGCTCTGTTGTGTAATTGTTTCTTATAACCTGTTGCTCTTGGAGCAATGGGAATGTCAAAATAAGTTTTTGACTCATATTTATTGTCCTTTAAAGAATTTCCTATAGTTCATTTTAAATTCATTTTAAAGTACAAGGTGTTTTTATTTTTGAAATTAAGTTTTTTTTTTAATAAAAATAAGTCAAAATGATTAATGACAAACTAGGAGCCTTGAAAGCTGTAAGTTACACATACTTATAGTATAAGCAACATGGAAAAGAAATAAATTGTGGTTAAGAGATGAAGATTTCTAATTTTTTATTTATTTTTTAAAAATTTCAATATAAAGATTCGATAATATGATATTTTTATGCAAATCAGTGTTAGTTATTCTTCAAATGTGACTAAATTTTATGTTTGTAAATGTTGCCTTTGAAGAAATAGTGTGTGTAAAATTTTAAGTAATTTATATATTTTTCAGGAATTATATTACTTCTTACCTATTATAATATGTTTCCGTAGTACATAAATTATAGTAAGTATATAATACTTAAGGAATTTTATGGTGCATAGACATACGTTTTATATACCGTAATAATATCTTCATTTAAAGGAAAAAAAAAAAAAAAAAAAAAAAAAAAACGTGCGCTAGGATTTTCCTTTTTTTTACTAACTATAAGATCGCTTCGTACTGTTTTTAATTTTGATGATTAGATTTAATATGAATTTTGAGTCATACTAATTCATATTAATCTTCATTCATATTATGATCCAAATTAAAGATTCTGCCGTAATTTATTTAAAAATCATTTTGTTCCCAAAATTGTTTTTTTCCCACAAATTAGAGAAGATTCATAGAGTGAAATTGCTTTTATAATTTACAAAGGATTTTAAAATTTATTAAATATGCCTGTATCGTTTGAAAACATTGTATCGAAGGCATACAGTGTTTTCAAATTATTAGGACATTTAATGAACTCTAAATTTTTATCATTTAGATAAAACTTTTGATATTTATAGATTTTTTTTTCTTTAATCTATTAAAATGCTGCAGCATATGTTAAAAGTGATACTTTGATTGATTAAAATTTTGCCTTGTATTATTTAGTTTCATAAAAGTTATTTGTTTGCTACTTAGGGAAGTTGGTTCTATAAATATGCAAGTATGTGCTACAGTATTTATCTATTAAATAGCAATGATGTAGTGATGTTTATCTTAAAAAAATTGTGCATTTTAAATTTAAATTTCATTTTATATCTAAGATTTGCTAAGTAGTAGCCAGATACCTTTCATAGATAACAATATTAGCTAAATAGCTAGCTTTCATTTTAAAATGAGCTTTATTAAAGAATTCTTGCACCAAATAGCTACACTGAATGATCCAATGAAAGTTGTTTGATTTTAGACATTTATTCATTGATCAGATTTCTACAATAATTTGTCAAGAATTAAATAGCTTAAAAAATTAATAGAGGAGGCATTTATAGATATTTTAAGGAAATGTGCTTAGATGCAATATATTATTCTGATTATTTTTTTTTTCGAAACTTGTGCGCTTTGTGATTTTCAAATTTTTGCTAAATTATCTTTACTAACAACTTGAAAACTGTGTCACCTTACATCAAAATTATAATTTAAGTTTAAATGTTATTAATTTATTTTTGTTGTTATTATTTTTAATAATGCATTATGAAATTGTCATTTTTAATTATTTATTTTCAGGCTTTGAATGAAAGTTATGAAGCCAACAATGAAATTACAATCAACATGGATTCTACTGAGCCATTTCTTTCAGAATTCTTCATGGAGGTAATATTGTATAATCAGATTTATAAAAATAATCCCTTCTGTTCATCTTAAAATTTTTGGCTTATTATAAGGTGATCAATTTTTTTACAATAAAAAGGAGGACAAAAAGATGTTAGAGTTTAAGTGTTTAGTTATGGCTGCTTTGCCTCCAACTGCAATACAAAATTCTCCTCTGCAAATATTGCAGTAAACAATGATGTCTTTCTTTGACACGAGAAATGGAAATTCCTTCTTCATCTGATCGTTGAAATGGCACTTCCTCTTTGATTTTTCCATCCTTTAAATAAAAAAGGCTAATCTTTGGAATATGGTAACAGGTAGTTTGGCGACATTTTGGTAAAGCGATAAAGGTTACTAGCTAGGACTTTAGCAGTGTACATGGATAAAGTCAAGAGCGTGGGCAATGCCATTTTGTGCAATTCTGGGATGTTTTTTTAAGTGAAAATAGGTCGACGTGTACATGGATGATACCGTGTATGTGCGATTCTTAAAAATGCGGCAAGCAGTGGGCGAATTCTGTTCTTCTTCCAACTTTGCACCTAATCTTCGTCATGATTAAGCACTTTTGTTCCATAAAAGTTCTAGCATAAGCGTAATTCGGCTAGCAGATTGTTAGAAAAAATGTTGAGTAAAAAAAAAAAAAAAAAAAAAAAAAAAAAAGCCTTTGTGAAAACAAAATGGCGTCCAAAACAAAACTAGCAGGTTGCTGTAGCAGGGTTGGTTGCCAAATTTTCGCCAAAAAATCGCCGAGTTACTATAATCCAAAGATTAACCTAAAAAAAATATGGAGCTACACGAACAACGTAAGCACATTATAAATAAATAAAAGTAAATCTTTAATAACAAAAACTGTAAAACTTTACTAAATCTATGTTTAAATTTTAAATTATTTTATACTTGTGTTGAAAACAGAGTTGCATAATAAAAGGTTGATCTTTACATTATGGTAACTTGGCGATTTTTTGGCGAAAATTTGGTGACCAACTCTCCTACAGCAACCCTCTATTTTTTTTTCCCGCCGCCATTTTTTCTTCATGAAGTAAAGACATGTTTCTTTTCTTTTTATCTACTGAACACTTCTTCCAACAATCTACTAGCCGAATTACACTTATGCTAGAAATTTTATCTAACAAAACTGCTTAATCATGACAAATATTCACAGCAAAATTGGGAAAAAGTGCACAATACCATACTCCTTACGCGTTTTTCAAAATACACATACACACATAAACCATGTACACGTCGACTTATTTTTACTTAAAAAAACATCCCAGAATTACACAAAAATGGCATTGCGCACACTCTCACTATATCCATGTACACTGCTTTTTTCTCATAAATTAGAAAAATTTCACGAAAATACATGACAATTTTCTGAATCTTTAAACCCGGTAAAAAGAACATATATGAAATTACCTGATCGCACGAAAAAGTATATACCCTTTCCAATATGAACATTTCCACATATAAAATAAATAAAATATTCCAAAAGCTTTTACCTCTAAATCATCTATTATATTATAAACGTCACCAATGAATTCATACCGCAAAGCATAACAAATACTTAGTTAGTGTCAAATATTTAAATTATTTCCATGCACGTTTACTTCAACTAAAACGTATACCAAATTCCTACAAACATAAAATTCACAAAATAACTATCATTTAATTAAAATATCACTAAACCATGTACACGTCGACTTATTTTTACTTAAAAAAAAATCCCAGAATTGCACAAGAATGGCATTGCGCACACTCTTCACCATGTCCATGTACACTCCTTTTTTCTCATAAATTAGAAAAATTTCACAAAAATGCATGATAATTTTCTGAATCTTTAAACCCGTTAAAAAGAACATATATGAAATTACCTAATAACGAAAAAGTATATACACCCTTTCCAAATATGAACATTTCCACGTATAAAATAAATAAAATATCCAAAAACTTTTACCTCTAAATTATCTATTATATTATAAACGTCACCAACAAATTCATACCGCAAACATTACAAGTACTTAGTGTCAAATATTTAAATTATTTCCATGCACGTTTACTTCAACTAAAACGTATACCAAATTCCTACAAACATAAAATTACTTTACTTCCACCTTACATTTAGAACAATGCATAAAAATAATATTCTCAAATAATTAAAAATACTAACTTACCTAATCTTCTTCAGAATCTTGATTACGTGTCCGATAAACTTTTCTTATTTCATCCGCTAAATAAAAAGCAAGTGTATGTGCGCCTGTTTCAGGATCTTTAAAATCATACTTATAGTTCACAGCAAGGTACCAGGTAAAATAAATAACTAATAAAACATCTTTTTCTATCTATCTCGCACAACCTTAAAGAAAACACTTATACTACCCCTTTCAATCCCACTAAATACCCATTTTGAATTCACTTTAGTTAGGGCCATGGGATCCAAAAATTAACGAACACTGTTTCACACAACACAGAATAAAGCCAAATACAAAAATTCCAGATTTTTTCCCGATTTTTTCCCGATTTCCCCCCTTTTCTGATTAAAGAACCGTAATTCGTCCATTAATATCACATGACATATCCCATGATCTCTCATTTCCCTCACACAAAATAATGCGTAATCGGAACTGAGTACTTACTGCTCACATTATTACCAAAGTCCCAGGTAGTAACCTTTATTGCCTCCAAAATGTCGCCAAACTACCAGTTACCATATTCTAAAGATCAGCCTAATAAAATTATATTAATGAGCAAATAAAACGTGAATTCTTCTTAATAAGTATAATAATTATACAGTGAAAGAAAGAAATTCATATTTGCGTCAGATGTAAACACAAACTATAATATTATAGACACGTTAAAATAAAGTAAAGTGCGCAAAAGTGTGAGGGTGCAGGACAAATGTGGCTGCTTGAAGTTTTGATATGCCCAGAATGTGCAGTGTATGCGTTTTATAATCATGTTTTTTCGAACTGCACCATCACAAGACGATTGACACGTAACATTTCGACACGGCATCTTTTATACAGAGATAAACAGATTAGTTGTAAAATATTGAAAAGAGAACAGTTGGAAGGACACTTCTTGAGGAAGGACAGAGCCTACCAGAGGAGGACTGTCCTCACTAAAGCTATGTTCACACTGGTCCGTTGGGGCGCGGCAAAGCATAAAAAAACGCTTTCCACGTATGGCAGTTCACACTAGTGCGGCAACTTTCGCTTTAAAAATTGTCATATGCTTGCACTAGATGGCGCTTCATATCAGAAACTTGGGGAAAGACGTGAAATTTTTGTGTGGTATTTTGACATTTTACGATTACATTTAAAATTTAAAATGGATTTAATTTCTGCTCAATTAAAACTTATTTTGCTTCTTGCTTTGTGTAAGAGAAGCAGAATGGAGTGGTTTATATTAATATGTGATTATATTATATTAATACTGCAGTAAGGATATGCAAGTAATTTAATTGAAGAAATGCACTTGAACGAAACAAAATTTCTTTTAGTTACTTTCGCATGACACCTCATCAATTCGATGAATTTCTAGTGCTCATTGAACTATTTATTCAAAAGCAGAAAACTAATTTTTGTCAAAATATCCCAGAAAAGAATCGTTTGGACTATGGGAATGGGATATCCCAGAAAAGGATCGTTGTATATATCTAATTTATTTATGAATGTTGTTGAGTGATAATTAAAAAATCCTAATTGTATGATTCTATTTTGGATAGTAAATTTTTCATGTGGTAGAATACCATAAATGCTTTCGCATGATGTATGAACTTCCCTTAAATGCTTCCAAAAATAAACTTCCCTTAATTGGTTTAAATAATGCAATAAAAATGTATATTTTGTTTAAATATATGTAGGATTTACAGCATTACTAAATTAAATATCACACATAAAAAAAAGCAGTTAAGTTAATAAACAACATAAATTTTTTAAAAAAATATTTTAGTTTCTGCCTTATGTACATATTTTTTACCTTAACTGTAAGAGTAATTACTTCAATGAGTCATTCATATATTAATGAACAGCCCCTATCTAAAGGTTTATTTTATAATGTAACTTTTATCTATAACTCATTGAAATGACTGCATTTTATATAATACTTCTTTATCTGCATTAAAAATTGAATTCCACAATTAGCAAATTTGCTAATGCTCATGCAAAAGTTTTTTAAATTAACGAAAAATTATCATCAAGATTAAACCTGTTGAAAAGTGGTTATGCATGTTAAGAAAAACAAACATGAAGCCTTTAAAATGCATAGAAATATTACATGAAATCAGATACATACTAGCGAGCTTCTTTTCTGTATAAATAACAGGTTTCTTAATTTTTTTAAACAAATGATTTACTCATCACCACTCGTTTAAAATTCAGAACAAATTAAATTTTTTAATTAGATGAAACAGCAACTTTATACTAAAACCAGTATCACTTTTTCTATACAACAGGTCAACCTAAGTTGAGAACACTGGTTATACTAGAAAGTGTGTGTGTCCGCCGAAGGACATAGTTCTATCATTTTGAGAAGTAATATCATAAAAATTACGCTGTGAAATATGAATACTGCTGAAGAAGGAGAACGTAAGGGAAAAAATGTGTAATATGATAGATTACTTTGCATCCAGCTTTCTAATTAAAAATTTGCTAAATCATGTCGATCATTCGATGACCAGCACGAAGACATCCCCCTTTTTTTTGTCATTATTGGCGAAACTACAAATTCCAGCAACCCCGACTTCACCCCCTCTCTCAATGAGAAAAGCAATTAAAGCATTCATTCAATTCACTGACTGGGAGGAGAAAAAAAGCAATTGTCATGCCGTCTGCATCATCTTCGACATATGTGTTTAATTTTCAGCCTCATAAAGCTGGTAAACCATTGCGCAGTGCTGCAAGAATATCATTATGAATGTTTTTGTCAAATTACGGGCGCAATTTCCTAATAAATCCGATAACGCTATTGTTACTTTTGCTGCTGATTTGACTAGCATTTCT